TTTTATTACTAATAAAATAGAACATATTTATTGTGTAAAATTAAAAATAGCTTTTTAAATTTTTTTAAATAAATTTATTTAAAAATTTTTATATAAATAAATTTTATATCAAACATGTAAGTAATTCCTCATTGTTTATATATATTAAAGATATAAGAAATATATAATATTTTTTTATATATTATAACTATGTATTATAATTATATATACAATACAATGTACGTATAAAGATATGAGAAAATAAATTTAATATTAATATCAATAAGATTGATGAATTGGCATTTTTCGTCGTATCAATATAATTATTTTTTATTTTAGAAAATGATTTATCTGTTGCTATTAGCTACTTATTTACAATGATGATTTGAAATATGATAATTAATACAAAATTGATGCAATATGTTAATAAATCTCGAGATATTAAATCGATACAAAAGTAGTTAGTTTTATAAAACGCATAGATATCTTAATAGACATATTAATATTAATGATCACGAAAAAAGCGAAAATCTGCTGATTTTGAATAAATATATATAAGTAAGCACAATAGATATTTGTATTTATTTCGTATTGTATTTTTTTTAATTAACTACACGATATTTTACTTTATTTTATTCTATCTATTCTAATGTAAAATTCTAAATAATTAGTAATTAAAATGACATAATCAACCAAAAAAGTATAAAAACTAGATGCAACAGTAAATAGTCATACTTAGCTAAATTTAAATTTACAATATTGAACTCATTATCATAATTAAAAAGTGTCATTATAAATTAGAATTATGTTAATTACCGTCCACCTATATATGATTTCAAGCTATACGTTTAGAATGTAAATAAAAGATAAATAAATAAATTCAAATAAATATTTTTTTATTCGTTCATATAAAGAGATTTAAATTAACTTTGTAAAAGTATAATCTTGTGACATATCTATATGCACTTTGAACTTGAGTTTACAAATATTCTTTCATTTTCAAATAACAGCATATATCAGCGATATTATTATTGCTTACTTTAACCTAGCTAAAGATTAAAAGGTTAAAAAAAAATAAGTAGAAAAAATCCTTTTGTGCATGTATATGTGTGTGTCTAACAATTCTTACGCAAGTGCATATATTTAAGCAAATGTAAGCAGTAACTTATTCTTCCAATGACAAAGAAATATGTATTTTGACGTTTCTCTCCTGCTTTGTGTCTTCATCGATAACGATCATTGCAACGATCGTATAATAACTAATGTATTCTTAGCTCATAAACATGTATTTATGCACATTAATTTATCAATTTTAGAGAATTCAAAGTATCTTTCAAGATTCCAAGTAAGAAGAAAAATCAATGGGAATAACTTATTCGCATTTAACATCAAAGTAAATTAGGCATTGACATTTCAAGTATAAAAGAAAAACAAGAATTATTGTAAAAAAAATCTATACAGTAGGAAAATTTGTTAAAAACGGTCCTCGTTAAAATTATTGTGTTAAATATTTAACACATTTGTGTTAATTTAATATATTGTTGCGTGTTAATTGAACTTAAATGTTAAATTATTAAAACAACTGAAAAAAGTGTAAAAATGTAAAAAAGATGTAAAAATGACAAGATATTGTTTTATTAGTGACAAAATTTATCTGTTAATTTACAGAAAAAAATGTTGATTTTTTATTTTATAATATATAAGTAAGGATAAAATTTAAAATTGGCATATTTTTAGTTTTTTTTTTTTTACATTAAAACTGTTACATATTTTACACAAAATTTTAAATTACTTGAAGTTTTACATTCATTTTGTATTAAAATATTAACACTACTTATTTGTGTCTCCATTTAACATATTCATATTATGTTAAATTAATACACAAATTTCTGTAAACGATTTAATTGATAACATGTGATATCTGTTTTAATATTTTATTCAAATCCTAAAATTTAATACAAGTTTTTCAACTGTGTAAAAAATTATCTTTAAAGGATCATACATGTTTGTAATACTAAAAAAAAATGCCTGAATTAATACATATTTAGTTCAATATTGCCAAAAAAATAAATCATTTATTTGAAACAAATCAATATTTGTTCTGAAAAGGATTTTCTTTTTTTTTTCAATAAATATTTTTCATATCAAATAAATATTATTAATTTCAAATAAATAATTCATTTGGCAGTATTAAAATAAATACTTATTCGAATTAAATAAATTTTTTTTCAGTGTACTAAATAAATATTCTTTCAAATTTAATTAATAATTTTAATTAATTAATTTTAATCAATATAAATTAATTTTAATATATATATATATATATATATATATATATATACTTAAACTTTCTTGTATATCTATCTCAATTACATTAGTAGTTCTTCTTCGTCTGAAGAATAATTAATTAAACATTTATCACATGTCATTAGTTATGGCGAGACAGGCTGCATGCATACATTCGACTGGATCTCGTTCTGAGACAGCCGGTTTGCTACACGCACATTGCGGAACGAAAGTAAGATTGCGAAAATACGCTCCCGAAAGCATTCCGTTTGGAGCGAGCGAGGAAGAATCGCGCGCAAATCCGGATCTTGCAATTTTGTTTTCGCAGGAAGGACATGCATTTCGGCGAAAGTGCGCAGGCGTTCAAAATTTTATTTATAATCCCTTCTTCTCGAAAAAAAGTTTCTTTGTATTCTAAAAAAAAAATTGTTAACTTGACTAAATCTTTCAACTAAATATTATTTCGTTAATTTAACATATATAAAAATATTTAAATTAAAATATAATATTATTAAATTTTTTTTAAACCAAGTTAAGTTAAAGTTAGTTGCTTATATAAAACTAATTTAATTAAGTTAAAAGTTTTATGAACAAAAAATTAACTCAGTTAAAGTTAAGATTAAATGATCTGAAATTAAATCAAAAGTTAATTTTTAAAAATATTATTTATATTAAATTAGAATTTTGTTTGTGTTAATTTTTTTTTAAATATACATACAATAACAGATAACAAAGAAATTTTGATTTTTATATAGAAATATATTTTTTAAATTACAATTGATGCCAAATAAACATAAAAAAATAAATTTAAGGTCAAAAATAACTAGTTGAAGTTGAAAATTAATTCATTTTAAATTAACTAAGCTAATTGTAAGTTAAAAGTTATTAACTTTTTTTTAACTTTTAACTAATTAACTAGTTATTACCCAATCCTGATTATAAGATTTCATACCTATACGTGAAAAGAATTTATTAAAAATCTCTACTCGAAGGGGATGATTTTTCACGTCAAGCTGTTCTTCAAGAATCTTTTGATTGGGGAGGATCTTCACAGATGATTGAATCAAACGACCAGCTTGTCTATTTAAAGAGCAGCTGCACGAAGAAATTCTTTTCTTTTTCCCCGCATCAAACTGTGTGTGACACAAATACAGAGTGTCCAGCAAACTCAATGAAAAAGATCCCCTGACTTTTTCAGATTTTTCAAGACCAAAAATTAATTTCTTCCCCGACTTTTTAGTATTATTTTTTTTCAAATATATAATTTGCATATATCTATCAATTAAATGTTAAATTATGAAATCCTTGAGATATTTTTACGCTGTAGATGAATCGATTTTTAACAACACAGAAAATTAGCGTGCTGGGAGTCAAGAAAAAATTCATATTTATTTAATAAAAAATTTCAAATTATTGAGAAAAATGTAGAATAATGTGAAAAAATCCAGATAAATACACGGAGAAAATTTTCTCTTAGAATTTACCCTGAAAATCATGGTAATCGTGGTCAATATGGTATTAAAAAAATTTTTCTGATTAATATTTACCACAATAAAAATATTAATATAGGTACATAATAAAATTAATCGAGTATATTTTATATTTTATTGTGTTAAATATTAATATTTTTATTGTGGTAAATATTAATCAAAAACTTTGATAAAATTCTTCCAATATAGCATATTGTTCACGATTACCCTGCACTGTAAAAAATATGTAATATATTACACAAAAATATGTAAAAATACATAAAAATAATAAGTGTAAAATTACACAATAAATAATAGAAATCTTTACCTTTTCATTATTTATCATGTAATTTTACATTTATTATTTATGTAATTTTACATATTTTTGGGTAATATATTACATATTTTTTTACAGTGTGATTTTCAGGATAAATTCTAAGAGAAAATTCTCTGTAAAAAAATATGTAATATATTACACAAAAATATGTAAAATTACATAAATAATAAGTGTAAAATTACACAATAAATAATAGAAATCTTTACCTTTTCATTATTTATCATGTAATTTTACATTTATTATTTATGTAATTTTACATATTTTTGTGTAATATATTACATATTTTTTTACAGTGTGATTTTCAGAATAAATTCTAAGAAAAAATTCTCTGTAAAAAAATATGTAATATATTACACAAAAATTTGTAAAATTACATAAATAATAAGTGTAAAATTACACAATAAATAATAGAAATCTTTACCTTTTCATTATTTATCATGTAATTTTACATTTATTATTTATGTAATTTTACATATTTTTGTGTAATATATTACATATTTTTGTACAGTGTGATTTTCAGGATAAATTCTAAGAGAAAATTCTCTCATCTTTTCCCTGACAATTCCAGATTTACAAAATTCCCTGACAACCTGGGACCCCGGTTCTCCAGGTTTCCCTGACCGCTAGACACCCTGAAATACTTGTCTGACTGAACTATTAATACATACACAGAAAGAATTTCCCGGGGGTTCTTTCTCAGGTCAATATTCGAGGAGGGAAAAAATAGTTGCGACTTGAATTTCTCCGCGAGAGTCTCGCGATAAATTTTTCCTCTCTAGAAGCTCCCCTAGAGGCTCTCTTGCTCTACACTGGCGGAAGTGCGGACGCGTACCAGAGCGGTCACCCACCCATCCACCCATCCACCCATCCGGAGACTTCGCTTTAATAGACGTTTCTACTGCACTGTTGATAATGGTTGCGGTCGTCTTATAGTCAGACATCTCTGACAACGGCCGATGGCTCCGCACGCTCGCGCCGCCGACCAGCTGTCGCGATTGTGGTGGTAGTAGCGATGGAAAATTCGTGCTCGGTAGAGAAGCTCTATAGCCGAACGCGGTTTAGTCGCGATTCGCACACGAACGGCGACGCTTCGCGCACAACTTATTCCAAATTCGTCCGCGCGTTTCATAGGCAGATTCCGAGGGTTGCTCCGAGCTTACAAGAGTGAGTAACTCGCCACAGTACAAGATGTGTTTTCTTCTTCGAAACGGTCCCCGTTCAAATTTTTGTGCTGAATATTTCACACATTCATGTGTTAATTTAACATGTTAGTTGAACTTAAGTGTTAAATTATTAAAACTGAAAAAATGTTAAATAACACAATGTGTATCTATTTTTAATTTTACACGATAAATGTGTTCTGCTTTGTTAGTGACAAAATTTATCTGTTACAATTTACAAGAAAAAAATATTGATTTTCTATTTTATAATATAAGTGGAGATAATAAAATTTAAAATTAACATATTTTTTGTTAATTTTCACAAGTACGTTAATTTTACACAAAATTTATTTTAAATTATTTGAAGCTTTGCATTTATTTTGTGTTAAATATTAACACCCATTTAACATATTCACAAAATTTCCAAATATAAATATATATATATATATATACATATATATATATATATTATTTATATATATATATATATATATATATATATATGTGTGTGTGTGTGTGTGTGTGTGGTGGGTGTGTGTGTAGGTAGAACAATTTACTGATTATGTCGCGTTTTTAACCTTAACGGGTTGTATCAAACTGGTTCTTTCAAGAAATTGCAGTCTCCTGTCTGTCTTTAATCCTGACAAACGCAAGCAGACGTGTCGCAAGAACTACGCAAGATGTGTGTTATAAACAGCGTGTGTACAGTGTGCAATTCTGTTCTTCGAACCCATCCTTTCTACTTGTTTTCAATTATTCTGATAGGCAACATATTAGCACATATCCTTTGGATTGGAAAATAATCACCTTTTAAGTACTTCAGATTTTCCTCAATCAATATTAATTTAAAATTTTATTATAATGTATAGTTTGTTTAAAACTAAGTAAACTAATTATTTAAATTAAATAAATTTGTATAATTTTACTCATTTTTAATGCTGTGAGCAATAACACATTAACTTATAGTGGAAATTTTTGAATTCTTTATTATCCAAACATCGGTTAAAAAAAAAAAAAACATAAACATAGTTTGTCCTGTGTTATACACACGCGATCAATTCCAGTAATTTGAATCCTTATAAAAATATTATATTTTTTGACGAAACGTAAAAATATTGATATCTTAAAAAAGCAAAAAACAAGATATAATATACATTATTGTGCAATGAAAAAAAATTTAGTTAATTCTTATAAGTATTTATTTCACTACTGTCACATAAATCATTTATTTGAAGTTAATAATATTTATTTAATACGAAAAATATTTATTTCATATAAGAAAATCCTTTTTAAGACAAATAAATATTTATTTGTTTCAAATAAATGTGATTTATTTGACAATATTGAACTAAATATGTATTAATTTTATTATTTTTTTCAGTATGTCTAAAAAAATAAGACATAATATCATTATCAAAAAGAAATTACATATTTAATTGATAAATGAATTATCTGTGACTTAAAGATAGCGATAATATAAAAATCTAATCCGTATATGGAAAGTTTATCGAATATTCAAAAATATAAAATTTGTTTATAAAAGAATATTAAATATCAAACGTTTAAAATCTCGAGTTGATTATTTTAAAAAATTCATAATCTCTAAACCGATTTTAATTCGGATAAAGAAGTTCTATATTGTATTAAAGAACTGAAACATCGTATTAAATAAAATGTTCGTAAAGTAAAAAAAACCCAAATTTTAAACATGTAGCATTTTAAAACAATTGCTTATATGTGTGTGTGTATTCTATAATATTTCTATCAGTTTTTATATTTCTTATTGACATAATTATAGACAGACATTACTTTGTAATAGCCTGATTACTTGTAACAAGAGAAATTTAAGACATACATGATCTTATAAGACAATCTTGAACTTCACAAATTATCAAACATTATATAAATATTCAGAATTTTAAAGACTGAATAAAAAAACTCTTGCAAAACCAGCAGCATTTAAAGTTATTTCCATTTTTCACTACACATAAATCTGCATTGTAATACATTAATCATACAGACTAGAAGTTTTGTAGTATAATAATGAAAAAAAATTATGTTTTATATTATAATTTTTTATTATTAAAAATTTTTTATATTATTAAATATTAATTTTTTATTATTTTTTTATTATATATCATATAAAAAAAAATTTTCTCCTTGACACTCGAGAGAGATATAATTTTAACGTAATATCAGAATCATCCAATTTTGTAAAAGAAGATTGAATTAAAAAAAAAAAGGGTCAAGGTAAAAAATAAAAGAAAGCAAGGCTGCACAAATATAAATGAGAGGAGAACGTTACCAAGTTATTCTGCGTCTGGTTCAGACATACTCCGACATATTCGCAGAAAAATGTGTACACATATAAGGGAGAATGGGAAGAAATCATCTCATTCACTACCTTCACGGTCAAGATTGACCACTTAAAATGTGGTCTTATATGCTAGCATTTGTACGAAACAGTGTTCGTTGTTATAATTTCTAAGTAGATACACTGAAAAAAATTTAGTTAATTCTTATAAGTATTTATTTCAATACTGTTAAATAAATCATTTATTTAAAACTAATAATATTTATTTAATACATGAAAAATATTGATTTGATATAAGAAAATCCTTTTCAAAACTTGGTTAAGTACACTGAAAAAAAATTTGTTAAATTAATACATATTTATTTCAAATAAATGATTCATTTGACAGTATTGAACTAAATATGTATATTAATTTAATAATTTTTTTTCAGTGTATTTAACTAATTATAAGACAAACACAAAAAAGAGACGCATTTTCAAATACAATTAATTATTTAGAAGAGAATCCGCAAATTATCAAAAAGAATTTTTTGACAAATTAGATCGCGAAAAAGTTATATTTTTATATAGTGTATATTATTATACAATATACAGAGTGTGTGAAAATCCCCGGAACGATTTAATATTTCGGAAAGAAAGTATTTTATAAAAAAAAATGTTTTTCAAACAAAAATTATGTATTTCCATTTAGTAATTTGAACAATTTGATCTTAGATGACATTATCAATTACCATCACAGAAAAAACAGTATCCTCGAAAGAATGCAAATATGTCTTGATTCAAGTATATCCTCATAATAGCGCCAAATATAAATAATCTTGGATAAAGAATACTTTATCCTTAAAACAAAAATGCAAAAAGTATATAATTCTTAGTTCAAATGTAACTAAGTTTTATTTTTACCATATAATGATTTTAAAACAAGAATATATCTTAAAGATAAAATATACTTCACACAAACTTATTTATTATTATAAGGCAAATGAAGATTTGTGATTACAAAGAGCATTCTATGCTTAAATAAATCAAATAGCGATCAAGAATAAAAATTGTGAATCCAAGGATTCCGTTTTTTCTATAAATGAGATCATAATTTGACATAATATGTTGCATAAACTAGTGAAGTATCTCATAAAATATTCATTTTTCGATTATCCTATCACAATATTCTTATGCAAAACAATGAGAATACAAGTGTACGCATAAGAGATAAGATCATCGTGAGTATTTACAAGATGTGTAAGATAGTAGTTTATGTAAGATTATGTTTAATTACGTATGTTATGAGTATTTACAAGATGCAAGATAGTAGTTTATGTAAGATTATGTTCAATTAAAATAGAAAATATTTTGTACACTATTCACTTTTTGATTATCCTACCCTTATAACTTTTTATGCCAAAAATTACAAGGAATCGTTTTATATAAAAAAAAAAAATATGATAGTTCCATTTAAAAAATTCAAGATAATTTTGATATAACCTTTATAATGTCATTTAAGGTCAAACTATTCAAATCGCTAAATTTTTTTAAAAGTTACAATTTTTGTTTAAAATATTTTTTCGTAAAATGCTTCCTTAGACCGTTCCGGGAATTTTTTCTAGTGATAAAGGCATAAAAATAATTAGTATGGCTATTTTTATTGAACAAAACATAAATACTCGATGTGATAAAACTGTTATTGATAATATATATTACTTATTTCGCTTACCTAGCATAATACAATTATATTTGTCAAATAACTTTATATTTAATTTTTCTTATATATATTTAGATTTTTTCAATCACATATATTATATATTATATATTCAATTATGGAGGAGATAAAAAATGATTTATATTCATTATAGAAAAACATACTTATAATGAATGACTGAATATATCTATTATATAATATTTTCATGAATTTTTTATTAGCATTTTTATATATTAGCATGTATAATATATATTATATATTATACATTATTATATAATATTATATATTATACATTATTATATATGTAGATCTGATTGGATCTACATATCTGATTGGACAAAAAAAGATTTTTTATTTATTTAAACTTGTTGACAGAAAATTAAAATTCAGACACGTTTATTACAGGTTTTTCGTATACTATACGTATAAAAGATTGGCGAGCGTTTTGTCACTCAAACGTGCCGTACCACCGTGTGACCTTGCATTTTGAAACGTTTACAGAATCGCGTGATTAATCGCTTTTTCTGTCTTTCCAAAGCATCAGATAATAATGTTCATGTCAGTTTTTAAAAAACGTTAATTAAAAGGACGTTAACAAATGGATATAACAGCCGACCATCAATAAAAAAATTTATTTTACTACTTCAAACCTTTGTTTGGTATTTAATAATTTATTGTTTAATAAATAAAAAAATTTAAATAACAATTTACAAAACAGTATAACGTAACAAATTGCGAATATAAACAAAAATATTTTTCTATATTATAAATGTGTATTTAAATATTTATTTATATCAAAATATTGTATATTGAATTTATTTTCAACAAAAGACTTAAAAATATGTATCTCAAATAATGAGATAAAAAAACATTCGCGTTAAAATATAAAAATTTTTTTTTTTTTATCTACTCCGTAATCGAATATATAATATATGTGATAGAAAAAAATACGTATCTAAGAGAGAACAAATATAAAGTTATTTGACAAGTAGCTGTACTATTCTAGGTATGTGAGATAGGTGCAACAATGATATCATCGTGCGTTCGCGTATCACAATATACGACACGCAATCAGTACATACAGCCTACGATTACAGCAGTAACCTAGTTCTTTTCGAGATAGAAGGCCGAATGCACTTGCAGATCTAATATTTCTAAAACTAGCATTACTTGGAAAAATACAACAGGAGCTTAGAGAAAAATTCAAGTACGAAGTCTAAATATATACTGGCAAACTCTTTCCTTCTGACTCTCGGCTGTAAATGGCAAGTACTTAAGAGTCACTGTAAGAACAATTAAAGTTCATTCCAAAGTTCAGGGAATCGTTAAATACCAGCGAAGTTTCTTCACGCGTGTTTTACGCCAATAAAAAAATTGAAGGGTCAATTTGCAATTTTTACGAATCATCTCCGTGAACGACAACGTGATATTAATCATTACAAAATATAAAAGTGCTATTCCGAGACTGAGATTGACATATAAATTAATGTACAATTTAAGGAGAAATAATAATAAGAGGGCATAGACGACATAATCTCGAAATAATTACATTTCTATCAAAAGATATTTCCTTTGTGTGTAACTTGTTATTATGACTAATGTAATTCCTTCTGCGCATAACGAATATTATATAATACAATGGAGACATATATTATGGCTATGTAATAGAGTGGTGCATTATATGTAGCCTTGCTGTCAAGTTTAAATTAATATACAGAGCAAACAAATATGCGTGCAAACAAAATTTTTTAAAATTATATTTCAACATTTTTTTCTTCCTACAAAAATATAGCCAAAAAGAAGTATATCATCTTTTCGTTGTTTCTACAAATAGAAAGAGAGAAAATAAATTAAATTAATAAATTAAACTAAATTAAATTAATTAATCATTAATCTCTCGCAATTCTTTTAAAGTAAAATATTTTATTATTCTGACAAAAAATACCTGAGACTCTATCTATCAAAAAAAATTAATAAATTATTAGTTCTAATGTAAAATTACTTGGAAAAATAATATAAAAATAATATAAATAATATAAATTATTATTAAAAATAAATATAAAAATAATGAAAATAATATAAATTATTCTATTTTAAGCAAATTAATTTAGGAGAAGATTTAGGGCAAAAACACATTGCGATTAGCTGTATCACGACTTGGCCACAACATACGACAGATGTAGAAGAATATAATCGCATGGAGAGAGAGTGGTATCGCGCGCTTAAACTGGTTATAAAACGCCGGCAGCGATTTATATGTTACTTCATTGCGTATTATTATGTGGAAATATGACCTTATTGACACCAGATTACTTCTATATGCGTTTTGCAAAAGAATTTATTAATTTATTTAAAATTCGAGTTAACATTCACAAATTGCATGATATTCAAGATTTCTCTTCTATTTTCCTCTCGACAGTTTTCACAGAGTATTGCAAAAAAAATCATAATTGCAAAATAAATCATCAATTGCATAAACTCACAAACACATTTGAAACGCAGACCTTTTTTACTTATCCGAAAAAATGATATATATTTTTGTTATGCGGATAATTGATAGATGCTCTATTATAGCTTTGATAAATTCTTTGCAAAATAAATCGATTGCATAATTGCAAAATCAATCAATTGCATAAACTCACACACACACACACATTTGAAACACAGACCTTTTTACTTATCCGAAAAAATATATTTTTGTTATGCGGTTAATTAATAGATACTCTTAATAAATTCTTTGCGTTGGCAAAAATAATGTATTAAAAATCACGGAATATTATTAATATTATAATACAAATTATAACCAAAATTTTGTTTCTTGCAGATTGATATATTAAATAGCCATGGTTAAAGCATACAACGGAGCGTTAGTCCTGGCGGATGTTTTGCTGCTTATTTTGAAGATCTTATATTACATCTGCGAGAGCGTGTATAGATTTTTCATCCCAGCAGAAGAAAAGAGTGTTGTTGGTGAGATCGTTTTAGTACGTATCGACTTTACAATATACGAGTATATTTGCATTACTAAATTACATATCAATCTTTATAATTGATTAATTCAGCCTGAGTTTTAAAATTTTTTGTCGGAAAAACTCCTTCATGTATATCTGTTGTGTTATCTTTTTAGTTTTTTTATACATAGAAACTTACGTAAGTTTCTATGTATAAAAAAACTAAAAAGATAACACAACAGATATACATAAAGGAGTTGTTCCGACAAAAAATTTTAAAACTCAGACTGAATTGATCAATTATGATCACTTACGTAAGTTTCTATGTATAAAAAAACTAAAAAGATAATACAACAGATATACATAAACTGATATACATTTAATTTAATGCAAGAATGATTTAATTAATTTGCAGTATTATTTTTCTTCACACACACACATTTACTCTTTATAAGCCACTTAAAAAATAATTCTGCAAATCATCTAAATCATTCTTACATTAAATTAACTAAAAAAAAAAAAAACAGCGTAATTATTGCAACTCTAGATGACGATATATCAATCATTAAACAATCTTTGATAACGTTAAAAATAGCTAAATAGTAAATAATTTTTTCTTTATAAGAAGCTATTATTATGTCGTACATCATTCCGCGCAAATTGTAATACAAATAATGAAAAATAAATGTCTAATTATCACGTACTATTCATTGAATAAGTTCGCTCATAATTAACAGATTTAATGCCCTTTTTAAAAAAATATATGATTAACGCATTCCTCGTAAAGAATTTAGAAAATTATATAAATTTTACTTTTTGCACGCTTTATTCAATTTTAAAGCAGATTTGGAATGGAAGTAAATTAATATTTATAAAATATTTATTGAAATTTTTTATGTTAAAATTATTTATGCTAAATTTATTATCCTTATTTATGCTAAAATAAATGACATTTAATATTTATTATGTTGTATTATGTGTATTAATTTTATTTACGTTTGTCTCTGGAAAAGATAAAAATAAATTTGAGAAGATGTATAGAAATTATATAATAACAGTGTCCAGCAAACTTAATGAAAAAAATTCTGTGACTTTTTCAGATTTTCCAGAAATTAATTTTTTCCTTCTAATATTATTTTTAGTATTATTTAGTATCAGTATTTTTCAGTATTATTTAACCTTTTATTTAGACCTTTTTAGTATTATCTTTTCCAAATATATAATTTGCATATATTTATATGATATAAATGTCAAATGACAATTAAATGTTAAATCATGAAATTCTTAAAATATTTTTGCCCGGTTTGCCAGATTTCCTTGACTAGATATCCTGAATAATCACACATATTGTCTATACAGATAACCGGCACGGGACATGGAATCGGAAGAGAACTGGCACTTCGCTATGCATCTCTGGGTGCAACAGTGGTATGTTGGGATTTAAATGAAGTATCAAACCAGGAGACCTTGAATCAGATAAAAAAGGCGGGAGGAGCGACCGCAGCATACGCATATCAGTACGTATTTGATTTTCAACAGCAGTACATTGAAAAAAATGACTAAATTAATAAATTCTGTGACTTTTTCAGATTTTCCAGAAATTAATTTTTTTCCTTCTAATATTATTTTTAGTATTATTTAGTATCAGTATTTTTCAGTATTATTTAGACTTTTTAGTATTATTTTTTCCAAATATATAATTTGCATATATTTATATGATAAATGTCAAATGCCAATATTTATTTGAACACTCCCGAATGAATCATTTATTTAAAATAAATTTTTTATTTGTTTGAAAAAAATTCTTATATCAAATAAATATTATTAATTTCAAATAAATAATTCATTTGACTGTATTGAAATAAATATATACTTATTCAAATTCAATAAATTTTTTTTTTCAGTATATATATGTGTGTGCATATAATAGAAATTAAAATTTGATGTATATAGAACAAATTCGATCGAGTTCTAACGAAACATCTTTATCTCGTTATATGCAGATGCGACGTGTCGAAAAGAGAAGAGGTCCTCAGCGTTGCTGAAAGAGTGAAGAAAGAAGTCGGTGATGTTACTATTTTAGTTAACAATGCTGGTATAATGCCCTGCCACGCCTTCCTCGATCATACATCCGATGAAATTAGCCGGATCTTCAACATTAACGTGCTGGCTCATTTCTGGGTAAATGAATAAGAGAGTTAATTGAACGTACAAACACACATGCGCCTGATGAAAGTCTTTTTATACAATATACATACGCGGGTGCTACCTTTTAAACAGAAATAATCTAAAATGATTCTAAGTAAATAATTGTATTAAAAATATAAAATATTTTTAATGTAGAATTATTGCATATTATAGAAAATGTGGCTTGCGAGTAAAAAAATATTTTATTTATTCATGAATAATGCATAATAATTACATTTTTTGTTGTTTTTATAATAATTTATTATTTATAAAAATATGTTATTTTAGAGAATTATTTTATTAAAAATATTAAATATTTCTTATTTTTCTCTTTCTAAAATCAAATATTTTTAACATAAAATAAAGAATAAATTATAATAAAAACATAAAAATGTAATAATTAAGCATTATTCGTAAAAGTAAAATATTTCTTATTCGCAACCTGCATGCTCTATAAATTTATTTGTGTTTCATTATTTTTATATGATATTTTAGATGCTGCAAGCGTTTCTCCCAAGCATGATCGAGAAAAATTACGGCCACGTAGTTGCGCTCTCATCACTGGCAGGAATCGGTGGCCTTCCGAATTTAGTTCCCTATTGTGCTTCGAAATTCGCAGTTAGAGGTAAGCGAGCTCGTATATATATATAACTCAATTTTAATATCGTATTTTTTAATCTCACGTGTCACGCAATGTGAATATTGCAGGGCTTATGGAATCAATTAGCGAGGAATTACGGATATCTAGCAAAGGAAAATCATTAATCAAATTCACCACAATTTATCCGTACATGGTAGACACCGGACTTTGCAAGAATCCAAAAATAAGGTAAGATTATATACCAGAAAGTGAATGTACATGTAGTCATAAAGGATATTTTGTAATACACAACAATGTAATTTTACGTAATTTTGCATGCTTATTATCGATAATTGTGCTGCGTGAATGTGCTGTATAAAATAATTATGTGCAAAACTGATTTGTAAAATTGTGTCTTTCGCGATATATTTGCAAATCACACTGATAAGTATATGGATACGCACAAGTATAATTAACCACATATTTATTAATTATAACTCTTATAACTCTTTCTTTTACAAGCAGACTAAATTTTTGGATGCGAGGTGAGCTGCAATTTTTTGTAGTAGAAAAAAAATGTATAAAACACACGTATAAGACATGAAATTAATTTATAAATTTTGTTTATTTGATGTCTTACGTCAAAAGCACACATGCACTTTTTATTTAGCGTGTTCTAGTAAACTACACGGAGAGAATTTTCTCTTAGAATCATGGACAATATGGAAGAATTTTATAAGAATTTTTCTGATTAATATTTATCACAATAAAAGATATTAATATGTACATAGTAAAATTCATCGAACATATTTTATATTTTATTGTGGCAGATATTACAATTTTAATCAGAGAAATTCTTATAAAATTCTTCCAATTGTCCGCATGATTGCCATGATTTTCACAGTATAGAAAAATTTGTGTTATCTTGTTAAAAACGATCCCTGTTAAAATTTTGATGTTGAATTATTAAAACAACTGGAGAAAAGGGAAAAATAACACATAGTGTATCTATCTTTAATTTTATACAATAAATATGTTCTGCTTTATTAGTGACAAGATTTTTCTATTAAAATTTACAGGAAAAAATGTTGATTTTTTATTTTATAATATATAAGTGGGGATGATAAAATCTAAACTTAACATATTTTTTGTTAATTTTTACATTAAAATTATGTTAATTTTACACAAATTTTATTTCAAATTATTTGAAGTTTTGCATTTCTTTTGTGTTAAAATATTAACACAATATTTGTGTCTTCATTTAACGTATCCATATTATGTTAAATTAATAAAAAAATTTCTGTAGACCGTTTGCCGGGACATGTGATATCTGTTAAATTTAACTGAAATTGTTCAACTGTGCAGGGTAAATTCTAAGAGAAAATTCTCTTTGTGTATGAAATAAAATTCTTAATTTTTTTTATTATCAATAACGGTAATTATTCTATTTTTAATAGGTTTCCGAATGCCATGCCTTTGGTCTCACCGGGGAAAGCAGCATCCGAAATAATCCTTGCGCAGAGGCGCGGCTACCGAGAGAGATCTGTGCCTGCGATATGGCTAACATTAAGCGTAATGTTAAGGTAAAATCCATGCAAATTTCCGAAATATATAAAAATCCTAAGATTTAAAGTTATAATCAATAATGTAAAAAAGGGCGTCAAGGACAAATTGATATTTCTATAGAAAAAGAGTAGAGTAAAAAAAGAGACATACACTGAAAAAAAAAAAATTATTGAACTCGAATGAATATTTATTTCAATACTGCTTAATAAATCATTTATTTGATGTAAGAAAATCCTTTTCAAATAAATGATTGATTAAGCAGTATTGAAATAAATATTAATCAATTTAATAATTTTTTGTTCAATGTAGTAGCAAAAGTCAATTCGACTTTTTTGATGAAATTAGTATTTAATAATAGTTACTAGATTTTTTTTCGTAACATACATTGCGCATTATTAATTTTTTCCATTAATACCTGTCACAGGTTTCTAAGACGTTATATAGGTAAATGAAGATGCGAAAAGACACGTGTAACGTCAAGTGTATACATATTATAATTTTTATTTCAGAAATTTTCCCGACCACGCGTTATACAGTATGATAGACTTCTTTGACAGCGGCGTCGAGGCAGACAGCTAACAGATACAAGAAACGCTCATACATCTATGTATAAAAATAATCTGAAAAACAAATTTATGAATAAATGTTTTTTATACGATTGTTCATTATGTTAACACATTATTTATAAGAAATAAGTAAATCGATATTGTCAACGATTTTTAAACTGCGATAGATGATTTTTATATTGTTTGACTACGTATGAATTCGAAAAGACATTTATAGTTTCTTGCTTCTCCTTTCCGGTACTTCTATATATGCAAATGAAAATAATTATTGTCATTAATTTATCGTAAATAATTATAATTATGTTGTAAACGGAGGTAATGTGCGTAAACGCAGTAGATGTTTTATACGTAATGCTAAGCAGGATAAGTAGAGTAAGTAAAACTTCTTTAGAAATGTATCGTGTAATTAAAAAATAAGATAAAGCATTTTTATTGCGAACAAAAAATATTATGCGACAAAACGTAATATATTAATTGGTGATATAACTATTATTTTATATATACATACATATGTATATATATTTATATATATATATATTTATATATACGCATATATAATTATAATTATATATCTGTGACTTATTACTCGGAGGTCGCATATATAGTAATGTCTATTTCCTATCGATAATGTAAACTTTAGTAGATTGATGATTCGATGTACTCAGATCTCAAGCTGTTATAGCACATATTTACTATAAAAAGTAAAAAAACAGAGATAAAAATATAAGCAGTCAATTATATAACATATCCTTATTGTACGCACATATTCTATAGGTATAGAATATAAAAGCTGCAAACGCAATTTCAATGCAACATTCATTTATGCTGTATCGAGATATAAGTTCGTATCTAATCTGTCTATTACATTTACTGTATTTTTCTGCCAAATAATTATTAATATTCAAACAAATATTGTAAAAATAAAAGATATAATTGTTAAGTAATGGAATAAATAAACATTTCACTATAAAAGAATTTAAGATTATTTTTATTGTACTTATTTTTTTTTTAAATTATGTTTTTGTAATTATAATATCAATTATAAATTCAACTAGAAAATAATAAGACAGAACAAAAATAAGATCTGTTTTTATTTCATGTCTTAATGTAAAATTAAAATATATAAAAAAGCAAAGACACATAAGCCTTAGCTTATATTAAATATGAGCTGTTTTTTTATTTTAAAATTTAAATATAAGGAATTTAAATATAGAGAATATTATAAAGGTAAATACAATTAAACAATTGAGAAAATTAGGTAAATTATAAAAAATAAATTTGAATAAATGACGATGTAATCATATGTATATTGATTTAATATCATATTATCTAATAAAGGAACGATCAAAATTAAATATTCCTCACTGATTTTAATCGACTTTGAATATGTTGTACAGTGTAGAGCATTAAAATAATATTAAACCTATTTTTTAACTGCCTATCTTAATGTTAAATCATAAAACTTTTATTTGAAACATTTTTTCATATTTTTTACAGTTTCGATAGTATTCGCTCAGGAATAAAAAAAAATCGGTTTTTTTCAAGGCAATATTTCACCTCATAAACATCGAGACACGCAACTAAAAAAAATATAAATCTATAATATTTTTTAATGTTCTACAACACATTTAAAGCTTATTAAAATCGGTGAGAGACACTTTCAACCATTCCCTTGTAAGATAAGAAATTTTTTCTTGACAAAATATCACGTTGCATTTTTAAAGTTTAGTGAGATTTTCAAAAATACATTTAGAAAATTGAAATCATATTATCTTAAAAAATTTTAATATATATTTTTTAAAAAATTTTAATACACATCTCTATTAATGTCATTTCTAAATATTAAGCTTTTCCAAAAAATACTAATAATTCTATTATATTACAATTAACTGATTCGAGCAATCTCATCGTTGCAGAAGTGCGGAAACGTATACCTATATGACATAAACATATATACGATGTAAGCGTATATATGACGTAAGGCGGTTACACATTCTCAGATTAGAGTGATTTTACGAGAGAGTTAGTTCGTGTCTAAGCATTCACCAGAGAACATCAGCGGAGAAAATTCACTTTCGCTTTTACCTGCAACTAACAACTAAACTTGGTTTAAAAAAACGGAAAAAATAATTATTTAAATGACAAGTACACAGTGATAATTTTTACCTAGTTAATCAATCGTCGTATCAACATTATAATCAGGCAAGTAAAATTAAGCTCATTATAGTAGTAATTTAATCATTTTTTTATAGTTTGATATCTCAAAAAATACCTAAAGTATTACAGATGAATTCGAACTTTTATAAAACGTAGGAACGCACTATGATAGAAATCGGAGCACTTGGCATTTAGCAATTTAAAAAATAAGCATGAAATATATTAATTCCAAATTTTAAACGTTTATTAAGTAATATTTCAAGTACATCCTTATTTTTAAGCAAAAATATTTGATAGTTTTTCTTCCTAAATACATATATTCTAGAGCAAGAAAAAATATCAAGAAACTATAAAATCTTATAAAAAATAAATGTTATTTTGTAAGAATTTTACGAGAAAGAGAAAGACGTGCTCTATGAAAAATTTATTAACTGTAAATATGATTTTTGTCTCCTATATATTCTAAAACAGAGTAATCAAAAATTTTTAATGTTTTCCTCAAAATAACATTTTTCAAATTGGCGAATATATGTATCACAAAAATCAATCGATATTTTTATTTAAAACTTGGAAGATATTCAGTAGATGCCCTGTTCTCGTGTAGAACTATCGGTTAGAAAATTAATATTTATAAAATTCGAATTTTGTGACTTACTAAACTAGCTAATTTTTTAAATAAAAAAAATAATTTTTTTAGTGAAAAATGACATTTTCCAAGACATTGCTATTTTTTTATTTTTTATTTCAGTATTTCAATTTCGCAATATTTTTTATTCTAATTCACACAATAGTCACATTCGTAGAAATTAAGAATATTTTTTAATTTTTGGTTTCAAATGGTTACAACAACTCATGCACAATGTACACCATAAACAAACTTTCTTTAAGGCAACTGGTTGGGCTATTGTAAGTCCAAAAAATCAAATATTTTTACTAGAAAAAAATTCAGGATATAGTTGAAATGTTACTTAATAAATGTGCAAAATTTGAAAGTAGTATATTTCATACTTTTTTTCAAAATATCAATGTATATATGTTTGAGAACGAATCAAATTCTCATTTTATTTCTTTAAATATGTAAAATATTAATCAATAGTGAGTCAAGGCTCTTTTTAAATTAGAAACGTTTCTTAGAAAATAAAATGCGCATCCGATAAAAACCTGATATATAAAGCGATCAAGTACGTATAATAACAGATTTTTATCGAATGATATAGTGCATTTTTTTCCCTAAGAAACATTAGTTTATATCAGTTCGTTTTTTCCTTAATATAATTATAATATAATATTAAAGTATATGTGTTCGTATTAGATTGATTATTGTAAAAAATTGATTGGAACACTGATGAAGACTGTCGGAAAGTTGAAACGTTTGTTGTAGCAGTAGTTTCTATACACAATGTGGATTTTATAATAAAATGTTTTATTTAATAACATCCGTATAATGTTGCTCGTTAGTTAGCCTAATTTCATCACATTAAGTATGTTATTTTATTAAATATTATTAATATACTATAATTTATTAAATTAACTTTTCAGATAATTATGATGAAGATATATGATGGCCTGCTTCTTTTAGTGGAAATACTATTTCTTATTTTGAAAATTTTTTATTTCATTTGTGAAAGTATATACACAACGTTTCTGCCAGTGACAAAAAAGAATGTTGCTAATGAAATTGTTCTGGTGCGTATAAAATTCTTAATTTTTTCCGTATTAATAATATTCAGTCAAATTTAAAAATATGTAAATATGCTAACACGTTTATTTTAAATCATTATTTTTTATCTTGAAGATTATTTTATCAAATCGCAAAACAATTTTCAAATGCTTTTTGTTGCGTCTTTTCATATACTCTTTTAAAATCGTTTAAAATTAATTTTACATCATACAAATTTATTCCATATCCCACATAAAAAGAATAAAAAAAATTTTTATTTTTATTTCCTAAAATATATAATTTAATAAGATATTTTTATCGAATACTCCTTATAATTATGATATTATATATAATTATGAAATAAATTCATGAAAACAAGATTTGTTACGATCTTCTTGTACATTTCATAATTATATAAGGAATGTTCGACAAAAATATCTTATATAATTATATATTTTAGAAAATAAAAATAAAAATTGTTTAATTAGAAAAATAATATAATACACAATATTCACTCGATGCAATAACTTATTGTTAGTATGTTATACATATAATGACAGGTGACAGGTGCAGGTCACGGTATCGGGAAAGAATTAGCGATTGGTTATGCAACATTAGGCGCAACAGTGGTATGTTGGGATATCAATGAAGAAACCAACAAACAAACGATGAACGAGATCAAACAGATGGGGAAACACTCTGTACATGCATATCGGTAAAAAGCGATAGTCAATATTACTTGATTTCATAAGAAATAAATTTTCAGAAAAAAAAAACAATTTGAATAATTTACAATTAACCACACATCTATCAACGTTGATTAATAATTCGATCGAACTTTTTATAGCTGCGACGTAGCAGACAGAGAAGAAGTCTTCAGGGTAGCTGAAAAAGTGAGAAAAGAAGTCGGCGACGTCACTATTTTAGTCAACAACGCCGGTATAGCGTTTGTCAAAAAACTCCTAGATCATAACGTCGATGAAATTACACGAGTTATAGACGTCAATTTGGTATCACATTATTGGGCAAGTGACATTTATGATATACATGCATATAATAGCTATACGCTATATTATATGATGTATATTATTTTTAAACATTGCAATTATTTTTACATTGGAATTATTTGTACGTCGGAATTATTTTCAGACATTGCAAGCGTTCCTACCAAGTATGATTGAAAAAAATTACGGTCACGTTGTGGCAATCGCATCAGGAGTATCATTTTTTGGTAGTGTCCATGGTACGGTTTATTGTGCCACAAAGGCCGCGGTCAAAGGTAATCGAGTTATATCTCACTTGTGCTTATAGCATATGATTATGAGTATTTCCTGTTATGCAATTAAAGATACAAATTCTGCAAGAGCATGTTTTACTAATATTTTTTGCATGTGCATATTATTATAGTATTGATGGAAGCTATCAGCGAAGAATTGCGCATGTATAGCAACGAGAAATCTTTGATTAAGTTCACCACCATTTTTCCGGCTTTAGTACTTACTGGAATTGCCAAAAAGCCAAGAATGAGGTATGTTTATATATAACGATATAAAGTTGATAAATTATAATTGATATTTCGTAATAGCGAGAAATAATATTTCGTAATAGCGTGGGTAAAATAATAACTTGTACATTTTATATTTCTAAACGTATTCAATTAAAAATTAGTATCTTTTATATTATCATAAATTTTATATTATGAACACACACACATATAAAAGATTAAAAGATAATAATTATTTCTAATATAACTAATTTTAGATTTTATTTGTCAATAGATTTCCAATTATAATGAAAGGGATTACGCCGCAGAAAGCAGCTGCAATAATAATTAATGCACAAAGACGAAATTTGAACGAAAGTAGTGTACCTTCATATTGGTTGCCGTTATTAAATGCAATGAGGTAAATTATGCAAAAATAAAAATTCTATCATCATATTAAATGCCTGATATATTTTTAAAAAATCATTATATAAATTGCTATAATAAATTGCGAAGAAATTTATAAATTGAATAAATACAAGAAATCAAATAAATACTACTGTTTCACAGTAGAAAAATTTGTTTTCTTGTTACAAACGGTCTCCGTTAAAATTTTTGTGTTAAATATTTAACATATTCCTGTATTAATTTAACATATTACTGTTCTGTTAATTGAACTTAAATGTTAAATTATTAAAAGAACTGAAAAAAATGTAAAAATAACACAATGTGCATCTATTTTTAATTTTACACAAAAAATATGTTCTGCTTTATTAGTGACAAAAGTTAATTTTACACAAAATTTATTTTACATTTATTTGAAGTTTTGCATTTATTTTGTGTTAAAATATTAATGCAATATTTCTCCACTTAACATACTTATATTATTAAATTAACACAAAAATTTTTGTGAACCATTTGGAACACGTGATATCTGTTAAATTTAACAGAAATTTTTCAACTCTGTTATATTATTTCTGTCTGCATATTTTTAATGTAATAATATAATAACAACATATTATTTTGATTTCTCAGGATTTTGCCCAACAAGGCTTTACTTTGCATACGGGATTTCATAGATTTCGGCTTTGATGTAGAAGATTAAAAAATATGGAAAATATAGATATATAATACATCTTTAAACATATGTATGTATATCTTACGATACATTATATCAATGTAAATTTATTTTTATACTAAAAATAATGAACATGATACTATTTTCCAACAATTATAATTATTGCAATCATAATTTGCATATTGCATTATCTTTTGCAGCAAAGTATCGTGGTTTTATTAGAATAAAAAATAATTGTGATAAAATTTATTTTAGAATCTTATATATGAAACATTAAATGTAGAGTCGTTAGATAAAACGTAATCGTCAACGAAACGCTATCGCTATTTATATGTATTGCGGATTCAAAATGTAATAGTTCAATAAGCTGCGTGAGTGTCGTTAATTTGCTAATTAAATTTTAAAATAAAAATGTGTTATATAAGAATTAAAATATGTTATAATACTTTAAATTCGAATAATAATTTTTTACAGAAATCAATTCATAACTGTCAGAAAATATTAATTACTAAAGCATTAATTTTTCCCACTTAAATTGTAAAATATTTTTGGGAAAAATTAACTCATTAAAAAATTAATTAAGACTCACCGTACGACGCGCAGCAGCGGACAGTGCACATGTTTGATCTGTAAAATACAAATATCAACAAATTATAAATCAGTGTCTAAAATAATTAATATACTTAATATTTTTGACAGAAATCAGCTGATAACTGTAAACAATATTAATCAAGTTTAAAGTAGTATTATATAATATATTGTTTATTTTATATTGAACAAACTATCATGCTGCTAAGCTTCGCGATATCAATCCCTCAATGCTATAAAATTTTATTTTGGACAAACTGCCAAATTGCTAACCCTCGCGATGACAATTTCTCGATGCTACGAAAATAACACACAACACGAATCAAGATAGTAATCAGATAAAAACAGCGAAAAAGGCAACAATACCTGCAATAATCGACTTATCTTTTTTAGAAAAAATCCCTATCTAACAAAAAAAAATAAAAATAAAGATTTATTACGATTTTTTTGTTAATTTTATAAGAATTGTTCAATAAAAATATCATATTATTAAATTTTAAAAAATAAAAATAAAAATTTTTAATTAGAAAATTTATGATAGTATACAATATTTACTCAACGCAATAACTTTGTACATTATACATATATATATATATGTGTGTGTTATTATGTTTGATATAAATTTATTTTATACTAAAACAATAAAAATAATTCTATTTTTCAAAAATAATATAACTATATTTTTTAATTATAAGAATTATATTATTTTCTAATGTATAAAAATGATTATATTGTAATATATTTTATAAGCCTATATATATGACTTTTAAATATATAAATTTTCCTATATAAATCAATAAAAAAATTAATCAATGCCACCGGATTTTTTGTGCATTAGTTTATATACTTAATAGGATTTCTGATGTAGAATGTACTTTTATTACATATAATTGAAAGAATCATAACATGCAAAATATAGCAATATCAGTAGGACAGTTTTCTGTTTTCGATCTTCTCAATACTTTAACGTTTTAAAATTCTTAAATATTTATTAAATATTTATAAGTATAATAATATTACTACACGTATAAATTGCTTAATTATTATAATATTATGCATCAGACCATGTATATATAATCTAAATTAATTATACGATCTAGCCTAAAAATATAATCAAAAATATTTTTACTATTTTACTTTGTTTCACTAGCTTCTATAATTTTTACAAAACATACATTAATTCAAAAAATAATATTTTTTGAAAAGTCTGTTTTTCTACACTGAAAAATGGCTAAATTAATATTTAGTTCCATACTGCCAAATAAATCATTTATTTGAAACAAATAAATACTTATTTGTTTTGAAAAGGATTTTCTTATATCAAATAAATATTTTTCATATCACAAATATTATTAGTTTTTAATAAATAATTCAATATTAAAATAGGTAAATACTTATTTGAATTTGATAAACTTTTTAATATATAAAATTAATGTCTATTTAAACTAATATTTATTTGATATAAGAAAATCCTTTTCAAAATAAATAAATATTTATTTGTTTAAAATAGATTATTCATTTGGCAGTATTGAACTAAATATGTATTAATTTAGTCATGTTTTTTAAGTGCATTATAACTACATGGACTTTGGAGATGAACCATCGTTTCGAAAGTGCGAAAGTAGGTATGTATATGAAAGTATACCGGCTCCGAAATTGGAAACAAAATCCCACGCGAAGCAACAGTATATATCTGAACATTCGTCAGAGAGTATCAGTGAAAACGCTCACCTTTGCCTCTCACCTGCCCTAATCTAACACTGTATTTTGCCTACATGAAATGAAAAAATAGTTATAAAAGAGAAATAACTTTTTATTTAGCAATAAGTTTTTATTTCAATCGTTTACACTGATATCAGGAAAGTAAAATCATGCTTATTATCATTTTGTTTAAAAAAATCTTTTCTTACACAAAAGTACTTTTCTTAAACAAAAGAAAATTATGATTAAAAAGAACATTCTTTTATATGTATGTATTTTTATGATAAGATGTTTAATATAGAACTTGTATCGTTGTCGCTTGCTGTATTAAATGTGCAACTATAATTATAAACAAAATTGTGAAAAATAGAACAAAAAAGAGTTATTTGCATATAGTGTGAAACTAAGAAGGAATTATAACAAACAGTAATAAACAATCATTTATCATTAGTCGTAATTGTAAAAATTACTATCAACTAAAATTTGATTGTCATATTTTAATTTATATGTATAATAATAAAACAAAAGATACTGCATAAGAAACACACATATAAAATTATTCAAAAAAATGACTGTTCTAATTAACTACTATTCATATTAATTAATGTTTAGAAGAATTCCATCCTAAACGCTCCTGAGAAATGTCACACATCACATTTTATGCACATTTAAGAATGCAGATAACTGCAAAAAATTGCTAAGAATATCCGCTAAAAAGAAAACAGCGCTCACGAAATCAGCTCGAAATGTGCAAATAACTAAACGATATATTGACTTGAATAATCAATTATGGAAATAATCTTATTTCGGTGTTAGCATCATTTATTTTTATTTCTCATAACGAATATTAAACAAAGAGAATTGTAGAGACGTAAATCAGTACAAACCAGTACTATACCATATATCGACTGGAATACGGACTCAAAATATTAGCATGCAGACATCACGTGTCTTATTTATGCATATATATATTATCGAAAGATTAGCATTTACACAATCATAACATGCTATACACGCAACAAAAATAACAGCAACTTTCAATATAAATGACGTATCGAACAGATCGATAGATAGTCGGTGGCGAGTCGTGAAGCGAACACATGAAAACAAGAGTGATCAAATATATAACCGCGAAAAGAGAAAGACTCGATATTTTTGTACTCGCAATACTTACAATTAGCCTATTCTCAAATATATTTTTATTTCAAATTACATTTCAATAATTTTATTTTATCCTACAGAATATTTTTAGTATTGTTAGCACAATTCTAATCGCACCCTATGTTTTTAAAAATAAAATAATAGACGCAGTAAAAATGGTTTAGACGCATGCGTAATATAAGCCGAAAGTCATCGAATATGTATAAAATGCGACAAGTTATATAAGCAGAATTAGAAAGCTTCAATCAGTGGAGATTCAATCATCAGACTAATTGATTATAGTGTATTATACATCACGACAAAAAAGTTTTGAATAGCGATAATAATCAGGTAATAAAATAAATCTTATCCTATTTGTGTATTTAACAACTTCGGTTTTATTCAATAAATAATTTGAAAATTATAAAAATTTAAAATTATCTTTTCAAGAAATATTTCTATCGATAACCGAATTTCAATTATGTATATAATTTTAATTCGCCGAATTTCAATTATGTACATAATTTTAATTCGCCGAATTTCAATTATGTATATAATTTTAATTCACCGAATTTTTATTACAAACATAATTTTAATTCGCCTACTTTCTATTACAAAAAAATATATTTTTAAGAAATCTCGATTAACAAAATTAGTATTCTCAAAAAATGTATCTCTTAAAAAACTTTTACGCTCTTAAAGCTTTACCTAATAAATCCATTACTTAGAGAATTAGAGAGATTTTCTTATAATCTTTTTATAATCATTATTGTAATAAAAAATTAATAATTATACATTATTACTATAATTATATTATTATACTAACTTTACAGAGAAATAATTATGATGAAGATAAATGATGGCCTGTCTATTTTAATAGAAATACTATTTCTTATTTTAAAAACTTTTTATTTCATTTGCGAGAGTATATGCAAAACGTTTATGCCAGTAACAAGAAAAGTGTTGCTAACGAAATTGTTTTGGTGCGTATAAAATTCTTAAATGTACACAGTTATATATAGGAAATGTATTTTCTCTGCATTAATAATATTCAGTCAAATAAAAAAAAGGAAATGTACTTACAAATTAATTTTATTAAAAGCATATCTATTTTAATAGATTATTCGATCAAATAGCAAATTAATACTCAAACGCTTTTTGTTGCATTGTTTCACATATGTACTTTTTTACAATTTAGAGTTAATTTATCATCCCATCAAGTTTATTCTATCCCAAAAGAAAAAATAAAAATAAAACAAGATTTATTCCCATTTTTGTTCATTTAAAGTTATAAAAGGATTGTTTAATAAAAAAACTGTTATTAAATTTTATATTTTATACAATAAAAATAATTTTTAATTATAAAATTTATGATAGTATATATTCACTCGATGCAATAACTTAGTATAGTAATACATATAACAGGTGACAGGTGCAGGTCACGGTATCGGGAAAGAATTAGCGATTGGTTATGCAATATTAGGCGCAACAGTGGTATGTTGGGATATCAATGAAGAATCAAACAAACAAACGATGAACGAGATCAAACAGATGGGGAAACACTCTGTACATGCATATCGGTAAAAAGCGATAGTCGATATTACTTGATTTCATAAGAAATACATTTTCAGAAAAAAAAAACAATTTGAATAATTTACAATTAACCACACATCTAACTATCAACTCTGATTAATAATTTAATTGAAATTTTTATAGATGCAACGTAGCAGACAGAGAAGAAGTCTTCAGGGTAGCTGAAAAAGTGAGAAAAGAAGTCGGTGACGTCACTATTTTAGTCAACAACGCTGGTATAGCGTTTGTCAAAAACTTCTAGATCATAGCGTCGATGAAATTACACGAGTTATAGACGTCAATTTGGTATCACATTATTGGGCAAGTGATATTTATGATGTATATGCATATAATAGCTACGCTATATTATGTACAAGAGAAAAAATTTTCTTAGAATTTACCCTAAAAATCATGGTAATCATGGACAATATGATATTGGAAGATTTGATCAGATTTTCTGAGAATATTTATCACAATAAAATTTATCACAATAAAAAAGAGTATATATACATAGTAAATTCATTGAACATATTTTATATTTTATTGTGATAGATATTACCATTTTTGTTGTGGTAAATATTAATCAGAGAAATTCTTATAAAATTCTTCCAATACCATGATTTTCAGGGTAAATTTTAAAAGAAAATTCTCTCTGTATATGATGTATATGGAATTATTTTTAGACATTGCGAGCATTCCTACCAAGTATGATTGAAAAAAATTATGGTCACGTTGTAGCTACTTCATCAGTGACATCATTTTGGGCGCTACCCATGGTACTGTTTATTGTGCCACAAAGTCCGCAATTAAAAGTAATTTAATCTAAGTATTTATAATCTTACATGAGTGTATGACGTATGATTATCAACATTCCCTGTAAATTAATGTGATGCAAAATAGGTATAATTGCAGAGCATGCTGTTTTAATATTATCTTTATGTGCATGTTATTATAGCATTGATGGAAGCTATTAGCGATGAATTGCGTACATATAGCAACGGAAAATCCTTGATTAAATTTACCACCGTTATGCCAGTTCTAGTATTTACTGGACTTGTTAAAAAGCCAAGAATAAGGTATGTCTATAACGATAAAGTTATAAAGTAATAACTTTATTAGTACATTTTATAAATTAGCATATTCTATAAAAAAATTATTTATTAAAATAAACTAATATATTAAATTAATATTACAAATCTAATATCTTTTATTGTCATATATCTTATATTATATACACACACATACACATATATAAAATATTATAATTAAAGTATATATGGTCATATGGTTAAAATAATAAGATATTTATTTTATATTTTATTTGTCAATAGATTTACAAGTGTAATGGGAGGGATTACACCACATAAAGCAGCTACACTAATAATCGATGCGCAAAGACAGAATTTGAAAGAAAGTACTATACCTTCACACTGGCTGCCGATAATAAATGCAATAAGGTAAATCGTGCAAATATTAAAATTCTAATATTAAATGCACGTAAGTAAGATATTTTCCAATAAATCGCATGTTAATGGAAAGCAATTTAAAACTCGAATAAACACGAGATCTTGAATGAATACTATTATACTACGATTATATTATTTCCCTCTGTATATTTTTATAATAAAATAGAATAATCTAATAACATAATAATAATAGTATTTTAATTTCAGAATTTTGCCCAACAAGGCTTTAATTTGCTTATGGAATTTCTTAGATATCAAATGTGATATTGAAGATTAAAAAATAAAGAAAAATATAGACCTATATACATAATTAAATATATGTATGTGTATAATGTGATATATTACGATATATTTATCTGAATTTATTTTATACTAAACAACAATAAAAATAATTGTTTTTCCTAAAAATGTTTTTTTATAATCCTATCTGTTAGAATATAAAATCTGTAAATCTATTCCATTGTAACTTTCCTGATAATTTACGTAACGTGTAAAAATAAAATTTGTTAAAATATGTAAACTACATTTCAGATTTAGATTAGAATAATTCTAGATTTTGTGGAACAATCACGAGAATATCAAGATATTATATCAGTGAGCAAAATAATGTAATTATTACATTCATAATAATTAATTTTCATACAGTTGAAAAAAGTGTGAACGAGAATAATTCAAATGAACACATGCGCAGTATAAAAATTCGAAGGTCAAATATGTATAAAGTCATCAAATATGTATGAAGTATGATAAGTTATAAAAAGCAGAATCAGAAAATTTTAATCAGTCAAGATTCAATCATCGGACCAATAGATGTTAATGTATTATATATCACGACAAAAGAGTTTTGGATAGCAATAATAATCAGGTAATAAAATAAATCTTATCCTATTTGTGTATTTAACAATTTCGGTTTTATTCAATAAATAAATAAATAAATAATTTGAAAATTATGAACATTTAAAATTATCTTCTCAAGAGATATTTCTATCAATAAAAAACTTCTCTCCCTTTAAGAAGAAGTTATAAAAATTATTACAAAAAGCAATATAAATAGAAAAATTTCTTAGACACAAGCTCTTATTGAATTCATAAATAAATTGATCTCTTTTATTCTTATGTTAGAAATATTTTTACGTACAAATATGCACATAAAACGAATAAAGCAAAGATCGACTCGTTAAAGAAATTTAAAGATATTTAGACCGAATAAATATATATATATATATATATATATATATATATATACAGGGTAGGCCATTTTAATCTTTCCACTAAAATTTCTCAAAATCCAAAAATTTAAGACAAAAATGTTTCAGATAAAAGTTGTATGGTTTCAAGGGGGACATGAGATGGTGTCATTGATTTGACCTTGAATAGCCATTTGAAGGTTACGTGAAGGTCAACTTCAATTTCTTAAATGGAACACTATATTTTTTCTTGCATACTTTTGTAGCTGACTTCGAGATCTTTCCAAAACACTACAATAAAATATTTTTTCATGAAGTATTTTTCGAATTATTAAGGCTGCAAATTTGCAGTATTTTGACATAAAATACAAAATATCTTGGGAAATATTCATTTTTCGATTATCATACCTTAATACTTTTATGCACAGAATAATGAGATAAATCAGTTGATGTAAAGAAAACACATAGTTACCTTTAAAAAAAAAATATGAAAATTGCAATAAGCAGTTAGATAATTTTTCTTTAAGACAACTATGTGTTTTCTTTACACCAATTGATTCGTCTCATTATTCTGTGCATAAAAGTATTAAGGTATGATAATCGAAAAATGAATATTTCCCAAGATATTTTGTATTTTATGTCAAAATACTGCAAATTTGCAGCCTTAATAACTCGAAAAATACTTCATGAAAAAATATTTTATTGTAGTGTTTTGGAAAGATCTCGAAGTCAGCTACAAAAGTATGCAAGAAAAAATATAGTGTTCCATTTAAGAAATTGAAGTTGACCTTCACGTAACCTTCAAATGGCTATTCAAGGTCAAATCAATGACACCATCTCATGTCCCTCTTGAAACCATACAACTTTTATCTGAAACATTTTTGTCTTAAATTTTTGGATTTTGAGAAATTTTAGTGGAAAGATTAAAATGGCCTACCCTGTATATATATGACGAATCTTTAAACACAATTCTTGATAAAATTGTAAGTTACTATTCTGCTAATCTCACTATTCAAAATTGAATAAACAAATTTTTTAATTTTATATTAACTTTTAATACTTCAGAAAAAAAGTCACTATAATAATTCCCTCCCGCAGAAAATAAAAAAAATTTTAGTGCTCTGCATTTAAAAATTTAAATAATTATAAAGATTTTTTTACATAATATATATTCAACTTAATTAATATTATTCAAAAGTGTTATTGTACAATACTGTATTCAAATCAGATATTACGCACAATGAGGATTTAGTTTGCAATTGCAAGACAATCGCGATTGCAGAAAATTGAAACATAATCAAATTCAAAAATTCTTTAATTTGCCTTTTTTTTAATTTCTTTCGAATTTATGATATATAATTTATTCTGTAATTATAGATTAAATTTTAATTTTTAATAACGCAGCATTCGAACAACAACTCTAACGAGTGAAAATTTTTTTTATTTTTCTTATTTCATATTTTTTAAGTAGATAAAATAGATAATTTTTCTATTTTATAAGGTATAAATAATTTTAAACATTTAATTCGGATTATAAAATAACGAATGATATTTTCTAATTTAAATATTCTTTTAAGGATTCTTTGATTACGTGTAATCAGCATCAATAAATTATTTTAGGAAGCTCAATAAAAAGTATGATATATAATTATAGAGAGAGACAGAACATTTAATAGCCACATCAAGTGCACCGGTAGCATAATTATTGTTAAGTGTATAAGTCAAATTTAAAACACTTATTTCCATTCACTCTTTAAATAAATATCTGTATATAAATGTATCGTATAAATTCGACAGACGTGAAAAAAGACAAATTAATCAAATTTTAGACATACGCAAAATTTAATTAAAAGTGATACATGAACTTGATTGTTCGGAAAATAATGAACAAATTAATTTGCTAAAATTAATCTAACTTTGGGTTAATCTTAAATTTCTTTATTTCAAATTAATATTAATTTTATTGTCTACATTCAGTGAAAATTATGTTTTTACTTTTTATTAATATTTTCTTAATATCATTATTAACAAAATAATTCAGCATTAACATCATAGTAATATATATAATTTTATTTTTAATGTTAAAAATTTTTTTTATATTTCTAAATTAAAAATATGTAAATGCAATATAATTTTTTATTATATTCCTAAAATAACAGTCCATCATTATTTTCCGAACAATGTAACATAAACAAGAAATAAACTCACATTGCGTCGAGTATCTAAACCTCTCTGCTTTAAGATATCCCCTTTAATGTTTCCCGCTGCTGCTCTGCTATAATCCCATATGGTTTGGCACATACACTGATCACTGCATTGCTTTTTCTATTATTTTATATTTGTGATAATTATTTATCGCACTTCACTACACACAGATGCACTTCGAAATGAACGGACGATACGAAAAAAAATAAATCACTCGCGAATGCATTCGGCACTTTTGATCTCGCTCGATCACATTCGATATCGCATTCGCGAATAAAAACACGAACAAAATATCTGTTGAAAAAATATACTTTTCCGATTCCGGGAAAGCGAGCGTCCGAATATTAATCACATCAAACGCATCGAAATGCCCTTAAATTAATTCGTGACATCCATAGAAGTCTATGGTGACATCTCCCGGCGCGCCGCGGACTTCTCCGTGACAGCGCGAAGCGAACGAAGTGTCATGGCGGAGTGACACTCGCGCCACCGCGACTGTTACGCGGATAGTCTCGGTACCACAGTATCTCAAGCAACGGTCGCCATTCCTCCACAATTTGAATTTTGTCTATTTCGATGAATTTGCGCTTCTCGGACACTTTCTCCAGCACTCGGGCACTCCTGGAGATGCTGGAGCACTCGCGGAACTCCTCGTCGAGCGGATGATTCCGAAATACCGCACGAGAGCCGCTGTATATGTTAAAATATAATCAAAATATAGTCCGAAATAATATCTCAAGCAATTGTCCCTCCTCTCGTCCCTCCCCCCTTCCCATTCCCAGCTCGCTAATTCCACGAATTCGCGATATTCCGAAACTCCCGGGTCCCGTCAACACCGGGATACCTTTCGAGGCAACGAAGAATCCTTGCGAGGCTCCCGGGCGAGCGAGTAGCACCGAAATACGTGCAAAAATCACGGCGGGACAGTATCTCAAGCAAGTAACCTCCCTCGCCTATCAATTCGCGATCCTCCAAGATTCCCGGGTCCCCGTCGACGCCCGGATGCTCTTCGAGAAGATATTCGGTCCACCGCGTCGAAACACGACACTCCCGGACTTGCACTCCCGTTTATTTGCGTTACTCGCGCACGAAAGCCAGACGCGGAGCGTTCGCGACACGCACTCCAATCCTCCACCGCTCGACTCGCACTGATCGGTGGCGGCGCTGGCTGAAGTACGTCGCACGTCAGAGTCGGCCGACTTCAGGTATTACTACGCGCGGGAGTTTTCCACGCGTAAATAGTAAATGTAAATAATATAATCAACAATTAATTCAACAATTAAATCGAATGAAGCGGTGGTTGAAGCACGTCGTGACGTCACGTTAGAATCGGCCAATTTCGTGTATTATTATGCGCGGAAATTTTTCACGAATAAATAGTAAATAATATAATCAGCAAGTGTCAGAGCTGGGTGAGTTAATAATTTTTTTAAACTAAGTGAGCTACTTATAAAATTAATTTAGTTAAAAGTTTCATGAACAAAAATTAACTTAGTTAAAGCTAAGATTAAATTAACTGAAGTTAAAAAAAAATTAATTTTAAAAAATATTATTTATATTAAATTAGAATTTTGTTAGTTAATACTTTGAAAATATATAATAATAAATAACAAAGAAATTTTGATTTTTATATAGTAGGTAATATATTTTTTGAATTTATTTAAATATAATTACAATTGATGACGAATAAGCCTGAAAATTAATAATACTTTAATTTAAAAATAATATGTTTATAACTTAGAAAAAACAGTAATAGTATTCAGAGATAAAAAAATTAACTTAGGAAAAAAGTTAATAAGTTTAAGGTCAAAAATAACTAGTTGAAGTTAAAAATTAATACATTTTAAATTAATTATGCTAAATTAATAGTTATTAACTTTTTAATATATTTTTAACTTTTAACTAATTAACTAGTTATTACCCAACCCTAGCAAGTGTACATAATTTTATTTCGCCGAATTTTAATTATGTACATAATTTTAATTCGCCGAATTTCAATTATGTATATAATTTTAATTCACCGAATTTTTATTACAAACATAATTTAATTCGCCGACATTCTATTAAAAAAATAATATATTTTTAAGAAATTTCGATCAACAAAAATCAGTATTCTCAAAAATCTATCTCTTAAAAAACTTTACGCTCCTAAAAGCTTTCCTAATAAATCCATTACTTAGAGAATTAGAGAGATTTTCTTATAATCTTTTTATAATCATTATTGTAATAAAAAATTAATAATTATACATTATTACTATAATTATATTATTATACTAACTTTACAGAGAACAAATAATTATGATGAAGATAAATGATGGCCTGTCTATTTTAATAGAAATACTATTTCTTATTTTAAAAACTTTTTATTTCATTTGCGAGAGTATATGCAAAACGTTTATGCCAGTAACAAGGAAAAGTGTTGCTAACGAAATTGTTTTGGTGCGTATAAAATTCTTATATGTACACAGTTATATATAGAAAATGTATTTTCTCTGCATTAATAATATTCAGTCAAATAAAAAAAAGGAAATGTACTTACAAATTAATTTTATTAAAAGCATATCTATTTTAATAGATTATTCGATCAAATAGCAAATTAATACACAAACGCTTTTTGTTGCATTGTTTCACATATGTACTTTTTTACAATTTAGAGTTAATTTATCATCCTATCAAGTTTATTCTATCCCAAAAGAAAAAATAAAAATAAGACAAGATTTATTCTCATTTTTTGTTTATTTAAAGTTATAAAAGGATTGTTTAATAAAAAACTGTTATTAAATTTTATATTTTATACAATAAAAATAATTTTTTAATTATAAAATTTATGATAGTATATATTCACTCGATGCAATAACTTAGTATAGTAATACATATAATAACAGGTGACAGGTGCAGGTCACGGTATCGGGAAAGAATTAGCGATTGGTTATGCAATATTAGGCGCAACAGTGGTATGTTGGGATATCAATGAAGAATCAAACAAACAAACGATGAACGAGATCAAACAGATGGGGAAACACTCTGTACATGCATATCGGTAAAAAGCGATAGTCGATATTACTTGATTTCATAAGAAATACATTTTCAGAAAAAAAAAAACAATTTGAATAATTTACAATTAACCACACATCTAACTATCAACTCTGATTAATAATTTGATTGAAATTTTTATAGATGCAACGTAGCAGACAAAGAAGAAGTCTTCAAGGTAGCTGAAAAAGTGAGAAAAGAAGTCGGTGACGTCACTATTTTAGTCAACAACGCTGGTATAGCGTTTGTCAAAAAACTTCTAGATCATAGCGTCGATGAAATTACACGAGTTATAGACGTCAATTTGGTATCACATTATTGGGCAAGTGATATTTATGATGTATATGCATATAATAGCTACATTATATTATGCACAAAGAACAATTTTTCTTAGAATTAACCATAAAAATCATGGTAATCATGGACAATATGATATTGGAAGATTTGATCAGAATTTCTCTGATTAATATTTATCACAATAAAAAAGATTAATATGTACATAGTAAATTTTATGTACATAGTAACATTCATTGAACATATTTTATATTTTATTGTGATAGGTATTACCATTTTTGTTGTGGTAAATATTAATCAGAGAAATTCTTATAAAATTCTTCCAATACCATGATTTTCAGGGTAAATTTTAAAAGAAAATTCTCTCTGTATATGATGTATATGGAATTATTTTTAGACATTGCGAGCATTCCTACCAAGTATGATTGAAAAAAATTATGGTCACGTTGTAGCTACTTCATCAGTGACATCATTTTTTGGCGCTACCCATGGTACTGTTTATTGTGCCACAAAGTCCGCAATTAAAAGTAATTTAATCTAAGTATTTATAATCTTACATGAGTGTATGACGTATGATTATCAACATTCCCTGTAAATTAATGTGGTGCAAAATAGGTATAGTTGCAGAGCATGCTGTTTTAATATTATCTTTATGTGCATGTTATTATAGTATTGATGGAAGCTATTAGCGATGAATTGCGTACATATAGCAAAGGAAAATCCTTGATTAAATTTACCACCGTTATGCCGGCTGTAGTATTTACTGGACTTGCTAAAAAGCCAAGAATAAGGTATGTGTATAACGATAAAGTTATAAAGTAACAACTTTATTAGTACATTTTATAAATTAGCATATTCTATAAAAAAAATTATTTATTAAAATATTAAACTAATATATTAAACTAATATTAAAAATCTAATATCTTTTATTGTCATATCTTATATTATATACACACATATACACATATATAAAATATTATAATTAAAATATATATGGTCATACGGTTGAAGTAATAAGATATTTATTTTATATTTTATTTGTCAATAGATTTACAAGTGTAATGGGAGGGATTACACCACATAAAGCAGCTACACTAATAATCGATGCGCAAAGACAGAATTTGAAAGAAAGTACTATACCTTCACACTGGCTGCCGATATTAAATGCAATAAGGTAAATCGTGCAAAAATTAAAATTCTATTATTAAATACACGTAAGTAAGATATTTTCCAATAAATCGCATGTTAATGGAAAGCAATTTAAAACTCGAATAAACACGAGATTTTGAATGAATCAAGAGACACGGTAGTGTCTCGCGACCAGTTAAGGGCGTAGCGGAGACACCGTGTATCTTAACGCGAGTCGGACATTTGAGTCTTTATAATATTTCGAATCCTCAATAATGGCTGAAGCAATCGAGTTTATACTAGACTTAATCGATAGATTGAGTTCGAATTATATAATAAAAGTGTCTTTATTTCTGCTCTACGTGATTTGTAAGCAGAGATATATAAATGCAAAGTCGAAATATGAAAAATTTCTATTAAGAAACGTCCCCGTCATCATTATCATCATCATTATCATCATCATTATCATCATCGACCACGCATACATAGTAGTATCGTGCTACACGTATTCACACGTATACAACACATGCGCACACATATATCACACGTACACAACACATGCAAGATGCATGTAGTGGTAATTTTGTCCATCTCGCACGTTTTACAACAGATGGCGATAGTGGCGCTCCGCCATATCGGCAGCGTGCGGGGTTATGTTGGCTAACTCTCTCTCTCTCTCTCTCTCTCTCTCTCTCTCTCTCTCTCTCTCTCTCTCTCTCTCTCTATCTCTCTCTCTCTCTCTCTCTCGCTCTCTCTCTTCTTCTCTCTCGTCTCTCTCTCTCTCTCTATCTCTCCTCTCTCTCTCCCTCTCTCTCTCTCTCTCTCTTTCTCTCTCTTCCTCACACACACACGCACAACACACAACTCTCTCATCTCACTCACTCACTCACTGTTCGTCTTGTGTACTTATTTAGTACATTCATGATCGGCAGCTGCGGGTTAGTTTGGTAACTTTTCTCTCTCTCTCCTCTCTATCTCTCTATGCTCTCTTTCTATTTCTCTATTCTATTTCTCTATATGTCTCACATACATACATATCTAATTAATAATGAATTTCTAATTATATTAAACATATCAAAATAAAGACATACATGTATTTATCAAATGAATAAAATTATTGAATACAGACTTAAAAAATTTATTAAACATAAACTTAAAAAATTAATTAATTAAACATATTCCAAATTTAGAAAAAATAAACTTTATTTATATATGCAACAGCTTTTTAAACTAAATTTTTAAATTCTATTTTATATTAGACAATTATCTCAATCAACATCTACGTCCACATTAGCTGCACTGCAGACTACCTCTACAGCCACATTATCTGCTCCGCGGATATAGCGTTATGCCAATACGATACATTACATGTACTTACTTACTTGCCTTTACTGTACCAACTCTTGTTCTTTCCACGTAATCATGTTTTTACAGTTATCGTTTGCTGTATATCTTCCAGCAAACTTTATTTCGTGTGAAGTGTATTTAATTAATTAAATCTCTGCGAAAGATTGAGAAGATGAAGGGATAATTCAAACTATGAAGACATGGTTACATGGAAAAGACAAGAGTTGATACAATAATAAAGACATACATGTATTTGTATCCTGCTGGCATAAGGTTATAGAAGTTGATTGAGATTGAAAAATAATAATGAAAATAATAAAAAAAATAAAGACACATGTATTTGTATCGTGCTGGCATAAAGTTATAAAAGTTGATTGAGATTGAAAAATAATAATAAAAATAATTAAAAAAGGAAATATTCAATCATCATTTAAAAGCATATTTGAAATCTGTAGAATAAACAGTTTTTGCAAAAAATGTGGAGCATTAGAGCTCTAGTAAGTCTAAAAATAAATGTAAACATCAATTAATAATAACTGATGTTATATATATATTATATATATAAACCAATTTGTTGCAATATTCACTATAAAAGGTTGTAAGGGTAAGATGGCTAAAAGTGAATAATTTAAAAGATAGTTAACATAATTTTACATAAACTGAAATATTTCATAGAATAAAATATTTGTAATATTTCGAAGTTTATGTAAGATTATGTAAAAATTATACCTTTACAACTTTTATAGTAAATATTGCGAGGAATCGATTTATATGAGAAAAATTAAGGTAATTCTATTTTGAAAATATAAGTGACCTTTAAATAACCTTGAAAATCGCCGTTTAGGAAAAAGTCTGTGTCAACTTTTTCTTTTTCGAAATCCTGCAACTTTTATCTAAATTTAATAGAAAATGTATAAAAAATGCTCGACATTAGTACACACACACACACACACACACATATGGGTAAATTTATATAAATAGGGTGCTTTAGGAGGAATGATCAGGATTCTAGGATATGATTGTACACATCATTTTAAGCAAAGAAGTTTAGATAAACATGTTTAATAATTGTTCTATTCCGGTCATAAAAATATACAAAAATGAATGATATAATCTCTAAAAACTCACCTTTAAAAAAGGTAAAAAAAGGCGACCAGTTAAGGGCACGCCATTAACAAAAATTATCCATTGCAAACCCATGTAGAATCCTATCCTATTGCAAACCCATGTAGAATCCTATAAAAATTAATCATTGCAAACCCATGTAGAATCCTAGGCAAAATTAACCATTGCAAACTCATGTAGAATTGTATTAAAAATGATCCATTGCAAACTTATGTAGAATCCTACATTGCAAACCCATGTACAATAGAATTGTATGAAAAATTATCGATTATAAATTCATGTACAATCGTAACAAAAGTAATGAAATAAAAAAAAAATTGCGCCAAGTGAAAGTAGAAACTTGTACCAGTGGAAAATTAAAGTTGCAGACATATATAGAGTCGTATAATGAATCAGTAAAAATTTAAATTTGCAAATGTAGAATCGTACCATAAAAAAACTTATCTTTTAAAAAAAAGATAAACAAGATGCCAAGTCCATGCGCCATGTAAAAAAGAAATAAAAAAATTTTAGTTAAAAAAACTGGGAGCGCTGCTAAATAATATTCTAACAATATTAAAATTAAATTGTTACTTTTAAACTCATTACAGTTAAAATATGTTTTGTGTTTAAATTAATTAATGTTACTTTAAGGTGCATTGTAATTTTGAAACTTAGCAGCGCGCCCAGTTTTTTTAACTAAAATTTTTTTATTTCTTTTTACATGGCGCATGGACTTGGCATCTTGTTTATCTTTTTTTTTAAAAGATAAGTTTTTTATGGTACGATTCTACATTTGCAAATTTAAATTTTTACTGATTCATTATACGACTCTATATATGTCTGCAACTTTAATTTTCCACTGGTACAAGTTTCTACTTTCACTTGGCGCAATTTTTTTTTTTTCATTACTTTTGTTACGATTGTACATGAATTTATAATCGATAATTTTTCATACAATTCTATTGTACATGGGTTTGCAATGTAGGATTCTACATAAGTTTGCAATGGATCATTTTTAATACAATTCTACATGAGTTTGCAATGGTTAATTTTGCCTAGGATTCTACATGGTTTTGCAATGATTAATTTTTTATAGGATTCTACATGGGTTTGCAATAGGATAGGATTCTACATGGGTTTGCAATGGTAATTTTGTTAATGGCGTGCCCTTAACTGGTCGCCTTTTTTTTACCTTTTTTTAAAGGTGAGTTTTTAGAGATTATACTATTATACTACGAGTAATCTTATTTCCGTCTGTATATTTTTATAATAAATAGAATAAATCAAAACATAATAAGTATAGTAATTTTATTTCAGAATTTTTGCCCAACAAGGCTTTCATTTGCTTATTGAATTTCATTAGTCTCGGATATGATATGAAGATTAAAAAAAAAGAAAAATATACCTATATACAAGACCTATATACATAATTCATCTATGTATGTGTATAATATGATATATTACGATATTTCATCCGAATTTATTTTATACTAAACAACAATAAAAATACTTGTATTTCCTAAAATTTTTTTTTATATCCTATCTTGTTGGATCTAAAATCTGTAAATCTATTCCATTGTAACCTTCTGTAATTTGCATAAACTTGAAAATAGAATTGTTAAAATATTAGTAAACTACATTTAATTTAAGTTAGAATAACTCTAGATTTTGTGAACAATCACGAGAATGTCAAATATTTGTCAGTGAGTAAATAATGTAATTATTTACATTCATAGTAATTATTTTCGTACAGTTAAAATATGAACGAGAATAATTCAAATGAACAGCTGATCAATTTCATGTATTTTAGTTTAGCATAAATATTAAGCTCTTAATATCGTGAAATGTATTAAAGAAAAAAATTATTACGCACTGTATATAAATAAATTATGCAATAAATAATATGATAAATCTTATAACTATAATCGACAATTTCAATACGATGTAATCTTTCATTACGAGTTTAATTATTCTGTAAAATAACATTGTAGATTTATTATTAAGCTATAATATATAACTTTATAACAAATTTAACATTAACAATATGCCATTGTTTTGGAGAGTGAGTAAACGATTTCTTTCATCTCATTCTTTTGATGTGTAAAATTGTAAATCTCAACGTAATGTCTGTCTCATTAAATTAATACACAGGTAACTTTCTTGAATCACATTAATCTCTATATTAATATTTTCCCTTTCTTCTGTATTTCTTTCTCTCATCTTTTTCTCGTTTAATATTTTAGTCACTCTAAATTATTCTATATATTATAATATGCATATAAAATGTTGATTGGATACTATCGCTGTTTTTTTTCACAATATAATATAAACTAAAAATTTAACATGTGTGTCCGGAAACATATTAAAAATTTGTAATTTCATATAAAAATTTAAATGCTAAATTTGAATTATTTTAATTTATAATATTTTATAATATTTATGCATATATAGTATTTATGTAAAAATAAGCTAAAATAAAGTATAACTTGAACTATAAAATTTAGCCATATGCTTAAAAATTCATAGAGAAATCAGTATGCATATATGCATTCACGCATACATCAAATTCTAAAGTTTTAACCGCGATTCTTCGTGACATTAATGTGTAACTTTAATGTCTAAATTATTGTTATCTTAATTATTAAGAATATTTTGATATTTTTCATGTCAAAAATATTTCATGTCTTGATATTTTTATCTTTCATTTCTTACTTTGCTTTATACTAAATCTAATTTGTTATTTATATTAATTATATCATGAAAATATTAAATATTTTATTTAAATTATAATTATAATACTATTTCTACGTAATAAAAATATTTTATTTAACAGCGGACACGATATACAAACATACTGATATTAACATATTTCTATAAAAATACGAAGTTGAAATTTTTTATATTATATGTTTTAAAACTTAATTTGATAAATCTATAATATTTTGTTATAAATTTCATGTATGTAGCTCAATAATAATGATCAACTTTCTGTGTTGGAAATACAACATATATATCTTTAATGTGTGTATTACTAATACAAGTTATATGTGACTTAATCATGTAATTAGTTCTTCTCTGTTTAATATCAGAAAAGTGACTATAGTTATGAAATGGCATTCTATTTTAATCTAATAATCATAATAATAATGTAATTATATGATAAATGAATCCTTCACGTATATTTGTCGTATTTTAATTTTTAATTTAGAAAGACAATGGACACGTTAAATAAATATAGATCTATTAATAAAAAATAAAAGAAATATAGGTAAAAGTAATTATATAAATAATTTTAATTCGTCTCTTTTCTGTGGTTTTTTAAAATTATCGCAAGTTTATGAAATATGCAACAAATTTTCGAAATAATATTTATAGAAATAAAGAAGAACTCTCGTTCATTCGCATAACTGAATATTTACATATGCAAAAATAATAATAAAACTTAAAAGTTTATTTATTCATTTATTCTTAGACCTCAAATATTCTAATACGTTTTTATTCAATATTATACCGTTATTTGACTTCTTGAGACATTCTAATTTAATTTTTTTCTATTAAATGAATACAATTGCTTATATCAGGTTAATAAATTTACATATATAAACTTTTTCTCTTTATAAGTAAACTAATTAATTATTCAATGTCCTCGGGTTTTTCTGTGCATTAGTTTTATAATAACATAATACAACAAGGAAAAGAACAATTTTTCTTGTATAATATACGTATAAGTTATATATAATACTGTTTCTTAAATATATTTTTCATTAAATCAATTTTGTTTATTTATAATATTTCTATTTAGTTTTGCACTACGTCTTCTTGATTATATCACGTAATATAAAGCAATATAAGATCCTCTTTTCTTATATTATTATGCCATTGTATTCTTTAATAGAAAAAAATTACAATCAGAGATAGGAATTTTTTGCCTCTAAAACTTTTTAAATATTTGTATCCTTTACCATTATAATTCAATAAATATTTATTGTTTTCATTATTATACATCAACCGTAACAAGGTATAACTAAAATAAAATATTCTTACTATAATACTTTGTTCCGCTATCTTCTATAATTTTTTACAAAATATATCAATTAAAAATAAAATTAAAAAAAAAATGTATTTTTAAAATTGATTATTGCTCTATGACTCTAGTTATAACTCCAAATCATATAGTATATAAACTTTTAGAATTCAGCGTGCAAACTTGAAAATTCAGAAGTATGGGAGATCCAAACATGCTGGAATGAAAAATTTATAATACTATATTGACTACTCCCATTAAATTTCCAATACACTCCTCTTATTCTATATACTTTACAAAATAAATTGATATGTGAAGTAGGGAAAGAA